TCTCAGTAGCTCGTCGTCGATGATCGCTGTCTTTCTTGCGTCACTGATCTTCAGGAGGCCGTCAAGTCCAGTTGTCATGGTGTGGACGTTCGAACATCCCAGTTTAAGAGCTAATTTTTCTTGTTGATTTTTCTTTGTGATAAATATGTTTTCTTGCCTGGTAAGGAAGTTACGATAAGCTTCTCGGTGTAACTAATCCTCATACACCCAAAGAGGAAGGCAGATCATGGCGGGACAGCACCTCACTAGCTGGGGGCTGCCCAGCTTGAGGCAGGCGATAGCTTTCCAATTTGATGTGAAGATCTCTTCCACCGTTGGAAGCACCCCCTGAAACTTCACTCTACGCCAATTGAGCATTGTAACTTATAACCGGTAGACTGCTACTTCCCGTGTTTTTTCGACTCCGTGAAGAGATGCCTGTTTGTCCTCTTCAGAGCACAAGCCAGTGCAGGGTGGTTTAGAGGACATGCTGTTGCCCAAGTAGCCGGACCCCACTCACCACAAAACTGATTGACCCAATGGAGCAGCAAGGCCGATACAGCGGTTAATGAGATAGAAAACGTAGAAAACTGTAAAAACTCCTAAAAAAATCTCTCACAACTCTTGTGATTTTGCATAAGTCAGCGTTAAAATACTCCTGAAATAATGTCCAATGGCGATAAAATGTCCTTTGTCTAAGCCGATCAGCAATTATTAATTTTTCCCTCCATGTTTAAGGGGTTGCAACATCAATTTCGAAATTGCTTTCAGCCATTTTCCAGGTTAAAATGATGGAAGTTAAAAAAAAGAAAAATCGATTGTGGGTCTTGCTTAGGCTGGAGCGTATTATAGGAGCCGACAAATCTTTTGAAAGAGTATTCTATTTTCATCTATTTTGTCTTAATGGCCTCTTTTACGAAACAGCCAATTAGACAATCCTGGATGAGACTTCAGTCAGTACTCTTTACACCAATCTTATCGATACTACATGTTAAGGGTAGATGTTTTTGTCTTTCTCTCCCATTTTCCGAAAAAAGAGCTTTTCTGTACGAGCTCTACACAAACAGGGCGTAGGCGTTATCAAATGTAGTGACATGTTCACATTTTACCTTTTATTCAAACACAATGAGACACATGCATGGTTCTAACTTTAAGCCTGCCAAATTTAAATACTAACGCAAGTTACCTAAGTACGTCAAAATTTAAAGTTTCTTTCGTTTGTCATTTCTTCTTTCCAGCGGTGTACTTTGGAGACATCAATCTTCTGCCTTTTTTGCAGCGGTTTTGGTTGATGCTTTGTGTGTTGGGGCATCTCTGTTTGGC